TTTTCTGTTCTTTCTCTGCTTCATAGACATAGAGCAGGTGTTGCCCCATGGCACATTAGCATTAAAATTAATGCTTATTTTAAAAGCAGTCATTATAGGCTATTGCCAATCATTTCAAGCTATAGTTTCGTAAGTGCTCCTTCCTACTTATATAATTAGAAACAGGAAAAAAAAAACCTGAAGCTTGAGTAGACTGGAGCTTAAGTTCTGACCCACCAATTAGTTGTATAGCTTTGGGCAAGTCATTTTCTTTCTCTGGAACTTAGTTTCCCTTTCTGTAAATGAGGGGGCTGGGCTAGATGATCCCTAAGGTACCCTCTGGCTTTAATATTCTATTCTGACTTCAGCACAGGAGAGTACACACACACACACACACACACACACACACACACCACACACACACACACGCTTTGGAAAACAGACTACTAAAATGTAGGAAGGCAGCTCCATTATAAATAGCCAGAATGAGAATTTCTTATCATCTTAGACCAAAATTATGGAGCTGAAATATAATCTTATCTGTGCCATATTTGTTCTTTAAAAATAAAATTTAAATACAGGACTTACTGCCACAGTTTTAGGGTTTCCAGAATATGCTGACATTTGTGGTAAATCGTATTAGTAAACTTACAATCACCATTATTCTCCAGCAGAACAAACAACAGCTGTTTCAAGAGCTCTGTACCAAACTCCTTGAAAATGTTTGCCTTCTCTGTGTTACTAATTATTGGCTGTTACACTGATGATGAGGCAGGTCAGAACTGTTTTCAGATCTAGGCCAGCAGCAAAAAAAAAAAAAATGCCAAGAAATAGTATAGTGTAGGAAACTGGACAAGAAGTCACATGACCCACCACCTTTGCTCCTATAACAGCAGTGTGAGCTTGGGCAAGTCTCACAATCTCATGCACCTCAGTTGCCTCATCTATGAAATGAAGGAGTTGGCAAAGGTGATAGAAGGTAATCTCTGCCTTCTGACTCCTCTGGCTTCCAGCAGGTCCCAGCCGACGTCCCACTTTCTCCAGGAAGCCTTTCCCAATCCCTCTTAATTCTAGTGCCATATCTATCCCATGCATAGCTTCTTTGTACATTACAGTTTGCGTGTTGTCTTTCCCATTAGACTGTGTGCTCCCTGAGGATGAAGACTACCCACTTTTCTTTGTATCCACTATCCCCAGTGCTTAGCACAGATCCTGGCACGTAGTAGGTATTTAATAGATGATTACTGACTGACTGACTGACTGAAAAGATGGAAATAATAATGCAGGGTCTGTGGGACAACAAGCACATTCATCCGGTGCTAGTGGAGCTGTGAATTGATTGGACTGTTCTGGAAAACAATTTGGAATTCACAAGAAAAGGCACTAAACTGTTTATACCAGGCCTGCACAGCATATGGTCTGTAGGCTGTAAGCAGCCCACCAAAAGATTTCAGGCGGCCAGTGAAAAATGTAGAGGGTGTAAGAGAAAGTAAAGATGTAACGAGTGCTTTGTGTGTGCCCCGCTTAACCCGCCTTCCACTAGTCACTACTATGCCCGCCATGTAAAACGGCTGGGGCGTTGCCACTGTGCCCGCTCTCCTGTTTGTCACATGATCCACCACAACCAACCATCATCAGTCTGTCTCCAGTCTGAGAAGAGCGATTCCATGATTTAAAAAAATCTTAAATAATAAACTAAGTAATAAGTACAGTGAATTGAAATTTCTCCTTAACATCGTTGATTTGCCCAATACTTTAATCATTAATTATACCTTTACTTGGAAAGTGAGCAGATAAAAATCTATCTGAGGCCCAAAGAAGTTTAGCCTATTTTAATTTTGGCTTCTACCTACTGCCAAGGTGTGCAGGTCTGGTTTTGACGTGGTCCCTTTGATCCAGTATTTCCACTACCTGGCACATACCCCAAGGAGATCCAAGAAAGAAGGCCCCATAGATGACAAACTATTCATAGCAATACTTCTGGGGATAGGAAACAACTAAATCACTAGTCCCTGTTGATGGCTGAACAAATGATGATGTATTCATGCGATGGATTATTGCTGCATCATCCAAAAAAATTAAAATCTGAAGAACTTAAAGAAACAGGAGAATACTTAAATGAACTGATACAGAGTCAACTAAGAAGAACCAGGAAAACAAATCTCTTTTCTGATAGTTTATAACCAGGTGACGCTGGGCAAATCAGTAAACCTTTCCCACATATTCCCTCTGTACTTAACAGAGTTATTTTGAGGATCAAACTATATAATGTACAGACCACTTTGAAAGCCTTAAAGTGCTGTTTACATGTTACCTATTACTTTCATCATCATCATCCTCATTGCATTTAGTAATAAAAATACCAATAGTGATAATAACTGTCACATGTATAGCACCTGAACGCTTATAAAACACTTTATATACTTTATATCATTTGGTACAGCAATCTCATCAGCTAAGTGCTATTATTACTTCCATTTTACAGATGAGAAAACTGAAACTAAGAGCAGATAAGTGACTTGCCTAGAATCACACAGCTAGCAACTGTCTGAGGTAAGATTTAAACTCAAGTCTTCCTGGCTCCAAGTCTATTGCTCTATCTACTATACCACACAGCTGCCAAGATAATACATAGTTCTAAATAAAAATCAACTCTTAAATAGGAAACATTAAAAGGGAGTCATATTCTGAGTAATCCTAAAGACAAATCTTGACAGCAAAGTATAAATGATGAAACACACCCCTCTCCTTTCAATAGTGAGGAAAAGAACCAAAGACATGAAATTTTCAATATACTGTGTCCTGATTGGCACTCACCAATCAGTGAGTGACATCAATTCATAGAACCCAGCATATTTAGCCAGTCCCAGACCATCCTCCGTACACCATACTTGATAGTTCACCCAGTCATCCATCCTGGTCATGTTCTTGTCAGACAACCTGTGTTATGCATTTATCCCACCATTTCCTATCCTTTGTTACCCATCTCTTGCTGCAGGAAGCATAATCAAATCAATGGTACCATTGCTTCTGGAAAGAGTAGGTCAATTGACTCCCCTTTGGCTCCATTCCCCATCCCTATGACTTCTCAGACCAAAACACCCTTTCCTGGTCAATACCCAGGTATTGTCTTCACCTATTAAATGGAAACTCCTTGAGGCCAGGGACTGTCTCACTACAGTATTTCATCCACAAGACTTAAGGGAGTATTTGGCACTAAGAACTTAATGAATGCTTTGCAGGCATTCATTGATTTATTGGTTTTGCTGAGATGTTTTTCTTTGTAATGAGGAAAAATTCAATGAGCATTGAAGTACATCCTGAAATGGGTGTGATGTAAAAATACATCAATAAAATTTAGTAAAATAAATTAAAATGAAGGAATTGAATGGGATGACCTCTCATGTTCTATGATTCTATAATTTAGTGAACAACATGCAAGCAGTTATAATATAGATGGCAATCTAGTACAAGTGTTCTGTGATCAGTTCTTTCAGGAGTGACACCACTCAGACCTTCCATCTCTCTTTGTTGGTAGAGTAGTGTTTTGTGATGTAGGTACCTGTGTGTACATACCTGTTAGACTCTAAGCCCCATTGGATTGCATTGGAACCATGCCTCATTTAAACTTCAAAGCCAGCCTCACTCCTCTCCAATCTGACCTCAATAGAGCTGCCAAACTAATATTCTCGAAGCACAGGTCTGGCCATATCACTCCACTCCAAAAGCTTCATTCACCCTGTTGCCTCTAGGACAAAATTAAAAATACACAGGCTACCACTGAAAGCCCTTTGCAATCCGGCTCCATTCTCTCTTTCCAGATTGATTTCACATTCCAGGCCAACAAGACTACTTGCTGTTCCCCAGTCATGGCAGTCCAACTGTACCTTTGCATGGAATGTGGATGCTTCTAGTGTTTTCCCTCCCTTCCCAGAATCCCTGACTCAGCTTTATTGTGCCTTTACCCATAAGACCTTTTCTGATCTCCTTACTACTGTCTGTCCTCCCCAAAATTACTTTGTGTCTGTTTTGCATTCATTTATCTAAGTAGAGGTTCTTTCCCCAAGTAGAATATAAACTCCTTGAGGGCAGGACTTGTTTTCCTTTTTTGTCTTTGTATTTCTAGAACAATGCCTGGCACATAATAGGCACTTAATAAATGCTGGTTGAACTGAATTGCCATGAATTAGTAAAGGACTAACAAATGGTTTTTAACTGATTGAAATGATAGACAACATAATGAAAAAAAACCCAACAGATTTCTGCAAAGCATGACACTATTTATTATCCCATTTCCATGTTCATTGAATTCTATTAACAGTATAACATGCCTCAAGAGGAGGCACAGTTTTATGTTAGTTTACAACATTCTCCTTCATGGGAAAATCAGGCTACTTTGATCCAATTCCCATTTTCCTTTTGGGAATTATTAAACATGACTCCTACATACTAGACAGCCCATACACATATATTAAAGGCAAAAAATAGAAAATGATTATAACAGCATTGAACAGCAAACACTGTGAAAATCTGAGTTTCTACTATTATAACAGTTAAAGCAACAAACCAGTACTTGTGTTTTCAGATTTTTTTTTCAAATTTGATATTAGAAAAACATCATTCTAATATAAACACAGCTGAAGATGCTGCAGAGCTCGGTTTTAAATGAGTAAAAGGACTATACTCCAGGATGGTTTTTATTCTGCCTGGCTGAGATTCAGTCAACGTTGAATTGTAATCCAGCCAATTGTTCACTCCACAGAATATTCAACACAGTGAAAACAATATAAAATGGATTTGGTGTTTAGTGGTTCAGCATTACAAGGCAAAGGTCATAAATAGGTTTCTGTCAATAAAAATAATTTTATATTTACTGTGACTTGTAAACTCCACATTTAAAAGTCTAGGATCAGTGCTTTCTTTTGGCTTTTTTTTGTTGTTTTTTTTGTTTGTTTGTTTTTAGGCAATTGGGGTTAAGTGACTTGCCCACACAGCTAGTAAGTGTCAAGTGTTTGTTCTGAGGCCAGATTTGAACTCAGGTCCTCCTGATTTCAAGGCTGGTGCTTTATCCATTGGGCCACCTAGCTGCCCCTAGGATTAACATTTTCAAAAAGTCTCTTGCTTCCTCTACAAAAATCCAATATGATCATTTATTTGAAAAGGAGGGAAGAAAAAATTAGGCAAAAAAGTAAACATGAGATTTTATGATATCTATAAACATCCAGAAATAGAGTCTATCAAATCATTGCCTTCATACAGCAAGTGCCATTTTTATTTTATTTTGTTTTTTACCATTTCCCCCATTTCTAACAGGTTAGCAAGATTGTAGTTCCCACTTCAACAGAATTGTTAGCCTTGACTCTCCCATGAAGTGCCTCATTTCTGGACTGCACATAGGAGAAAATATAGATTCCTGGGGGAGGGGGGAACTGAGAATAAAAAATATTAATAGTCAAGAATCTAAAACCAATGCAACTACCTTATTTTGTTAATCAGTTTCATACCCTTTAATCTCAGTAAAGATAATATAGATAGGGGTTAGTTTTCCGGTATTGTATCAATCCCTTCCAACCTCTTCTGTATGCTCCCTACCCCACTAGGAATAAAATATATTGTCTCCCTTTTTAAAACATATACATTTATATAAAATGTTTGTATGTATATATGTACATTGTATACATATATAATTATTATTATTTTAATATACATACATTTCTTTTTCAGGGGCTGGATAGTTCCTCATTTTCTAACAAATAATCTTTCTTCACATATTTAGTCCCCCTAACCAATCTCCACACTCCAAGGTAAGCGTCCTTTAATGAGTTCTTATTAACTCCTTCAGCCTCCTGGCTGCTGCTGGAGACCAGTGCTGTTTCCAAGAGACCATGTTTAGGCTTTTCCGTGCAGGGCTGACTGATCCCACTGGCTGTCTCCTCTCCTTCCATTTCACCATTTCCTTTCTCCAAGGGCAGGGCCTCCATAACAAATGGTGGTTGAGCACCATTTGTCTCCTGCACATCTTCCCTATAGTCTTTTTCCAGGTCCTCATAACTACTTTGCTTTCTGGTCTCAATGAACTTGGCCACACAATAAATTAGAGAACCAAAGGTGTTCACCACCACACCTGCTATGAACAGAGAAGTAGGCTCCACATCATTGAAGGCCACCATGCCCACTGTGATGGTGGCTATGCTTTTCACCACTCCAACAAAACTAGTGGTCACGGCAGAGTTAATGTAGGTACAGTGGAGTGTAGTAAAGTTCATGGCACAGCCAATCAAAATGCAAGCCGCAAAGATACAGACCATGGTTGGATCTTTCCATCCTGGGAAGGCCCAAGCATTGATAGAATCCAAGCTGGCGAAGGAGCAAATGATAAGTAGAGGCGTGGCAGAGATGGCAATGGCATACTGGGCTGTGAGGGCTCCATGCTCAGAGTCTGAACTGGTCTTCTGAATAAGCACAAGATAAGCAGCATGAACTAATACTGCCAGGACACCTGTCACATACCCAATGGGGTCCCCAGTTAGATCACCAGCTCCTGTGACAGAAAAAAAGGTTTTATTTTTTTTTTTGCACAAGTTTTAAATTTATTTATAATGAAGACAGGATCAGAAATAGAGAAACCAAGCTCCCTAGCTTTGTCAAGTAAATTATTATATCACTCTAAGCTTTGCTGTGCTAAAATTTCTATCCTTTATTAAATGGGAACTTGGGGCTGGTCTTCATCCACTCCTTAGTGAGGATGTAAGTAAAGTGCTTTGACTCCTAGGGAAGATTGAGTACTATACATAACAAAACCATTATATTTAAATTCCCAAATATCTTAGAGATCATTTAGTCCAACCTTTCTGCACTTCCCATTTTACAGATAAGGAAAATGAGATCCAAAGAGGGAAGTGACTTATCCAAGGTTTTCTCAGTGAGGAACCAGTCTGAATTCAAACTCACGTGCTCCAATTCCAAAACCAGGCTGCCTCTTAGATGCAAATGTAGGAGCGCCCTTCTCACCTTTTCATTTTAAACTGAAACTGGGTTTTCTTTTCCTTCTGTCCCACTTCTGTTCCCTTCGGCCTGATAGGGTTGTCTCTAGAGTACTTGAATAGGCATTGAGCTCTCCGGATGCCCCCAAACTGCTAAACCCCATTGCACCTAGGAAAACGATTGTTTCCCTGCAGCGTGGGAAGAACCCTTGGCTATGGTTGGCCCGAGAAGGCACAGACCTGCTGCCAATCTTCCACTGCATTTTCAAGATACCCTCAAAGAGTCTTGGTTTGGAAACTGCACCCAAGAGACTGGGGGTTGTTTTTGCTCATAGAAAATCCCTCCCCCGCCTCTCGTCAACGAGTTTGTAGTTGCTTAAATGTGAATGCTATTTCCTACCCCTCCAGGTGACTGTCCTTCTCTGGGTTTCCTTAGTGCTGGATCCCATTAGTGGGCATGTATTAATGTAGTCTGGCCTTGGAATCCAGCAAAGAAGGATTATTTTCCATCCTTTATCCCTCTGCTTCACTCCTGTGCCGGGGCCGAAGTACAAGCCTTCGGTGACTTCACCTCCCGCCGCACGACCCCCGATCTGGCCCAGTCAGCCTCTACCATCCTCTCCCCCTGTATACTCCCTCCCTACCCGAATCCCAGTTCCAGTTCTAGTCCAAGTGTCATCTCTAGGAGCTCAGAAATTTAAAGAAAGTCCCCAGTCCCATCCTTCCTCTCAGGGAGCGTCAGAGCACAACCAAGATCATCTAATCCTGGGGTTCTGTGTCATGGGTCCCCCTTTGACACTACAGTGAAGCCTATGGACCTCTTACCAGAATAATGTTTCTAAATGCATAAAATAAAATACATGAGATTACAAATGGAAGCAATCGTGCTGAAATGTAGTTAACAAAAAAAAATTTAAACAAATTCACAGATTCCGGGTTAAGAACTCATGATCTAATCCATCCCTTTTATTTTAAGGATGAGGAAACTAAGGCACAGAGGAGAGAAATGACCTTTCCGAGTTTACACTGGCAGTAAATAACAGAGTTGGATTTGAACCCGGAATTCCTAAGCCAGTGAATGTTCTTTCCCTTACTCCAAAACTACATTTTATAGATGAGGACACTGAATCCCAAAGAGGGAACCTGACTTGTCCGAGGTTGCACAGCAAGTAAGGGACTCAACTGGGACTTCAATCCAGGCCTGAATCAAATCTAGGACTCTTTCCATGACACCCCTTTGTCGTGATCCATTATTAATAAAGGCTCCAAGAGCTGGGCCCCGGATTGATACAGGGAGGCATGATGGAGACTGCCTGAAAGACTGGAGTAGCACCAAGGGGGAAACCAATGGAGAAGGGGGAAATGGGATAAAGCAGCGAGGAAAGAAGGGTTGGGAAGGAGCTGGGCTTTAGGGCTGGGCAGTGTGTAAATTGGAGAAGGGGATACTAGGAGAATACAGTGGGGGAGGAGGGAGGTTTACAGCTGCTCACCTGCTAGGGCTGCCCCGCAGGTGGTGATGAGTACGGCCACTAGGACCCCAGCGGAGGGCGCCCCGTTCTTGAGCACCAGGACGCCGATAAGCATAGTGACCAGGGGCAGACAACGCTTGAAGACCACATACATAGGCAGACTGAGCCCCCGAAGGGACCAGAGGGTAAGGCTGGACTGCAGCGTGGATAGCACAGTGACCCCGGCGAAGGGGCGCGCCAGGCTCAGGCTGAAAGGGGGCACAGAGACGAGTCCCAAGCGCCGCAGCAGCTCCAGGGTGATGGCAGCAGTGGAACTGGTCAGGCACTGCACCAGGGTCAGGAAGGCGAACTGGTAGCGGCTGATGAGGAACTTGAGCAGGATATTGAGGGAGCCCGAGAAGACCCCGTGGGCGATGGCCACCGAGATGCCCAGCATCCGGCCTTTGCAAAGCTGCATCCTGGTGCGTGGTCACTTCTTGTATGCTGGGGATCAGAGACCTGTGGGGAATAAGGAAAGAGAAGAGAGAGGGGCGAGAGGAGGAGGAGGAGGGGGGGGGAGAGAGGGAGAGAGAGAGAGAGAGAGAGAGAGAGAGAGAGAGAGAGAGAGAGAGAGAGAGAGAGAGAGAGAGAGAGAGAGGGAGAGAGAGAGAGAGAGAGAGAGAGAGAGAGAGAGAGAGAGAGAGAGAGAGAGAGAGAGAGAGAGAGAGAGAGAGAGAGAGAGAGAGAGAGAGAGAGAGATGCGCCCCCCCCTCCCCTGCCCCCAGCCTGTCTGTTGAGAGGAACGGAGGATTCCCAAGAGGGCAGTCCTGTCAATTCCGCGGGTTCAGGTTAGACTGCTGGACAGCTACGAGTCGGCGTCACCAGGGAATGAAGAAGGGTTGAGGGAAGAGGGGCGGGCGAGGGACACTGAAAAGTAGTAAAGAAAGAGGAGGGGGAGGGAGGTGGTTAGTGGCGGGAATCCTTTAGTCAATTTGTTACTCAAGGTGCCTGTTAAAGAGATGCGGCTGTATCTGTTCCAGTGTGTAGTCAGGGTTAACGCCTTTGCAGTGCTCGGAAACCCCTAGGAGAGACAGTCCCCTGGCGCAGCATGGGAACGGATTCAGCTCTTCATTTACTTGGTGACAACCAGCCGGAGTCCCTGGACTCTCATGGTTTTCGTTCTCTTCTCTGGACCTCTCCTTGGCTGCTTTTCCTAGATCAGTGAATTGGCTATGAAGGGCTACAGTTTCCTACGAATTAAAAAGCCAACAAGACGTCCATGCTCCTCACCACGTACTGGTCGCAACAAGTGCTTGGGCGTCCCAAGTCCTTCCAGCAACACCAACCGCCTGGAGCTCCGACTCCATAACCCATCCCCACCCAACGGTGCGCAAAAACTTTCTCCCAGCTCTGTCCCTCCATCCGGAAAGCACAAGGAAGAATCAAGCAAAAGCTGAACGTTTAAGGGGCGGCTCCTAACTTTGTGCCTCCTGACTTGCCACTCCCACCCGAGAAATAATAGGGCTCCTCATACTCCCCCTCCCACCCCCTTCGATCCCCCTCCCCTCCCTGTGTAAAAGGAACTCTCGCTACTGGAGACCTGAAACCATAAAAGAGGGTGGAGGAGAAGCAAGTGGGTGGGTGGGCGAGGATGCTGGGAGGTCAGGAGGAAGCGCTCCGCCTTTTCCCTCTGAGATCCTGGTGAAGGGAACGCGTTGTCAGTACCAGAGGACCACTGGCGCCAAGAAGGGGAGCGGGTTTAAAATGAGAAAAACAATTTTAATAATAACGACCATCCTGTGGATGTTAATATGATGGTAAAGGAGCTGTTCCTGGAGTCAGAAGATAGGGTCAGGGGAGGGAGGGAGAGATCGAATTCGGATCTCGCCGTTTGGAAGCTGTGTGACTCTGAATTAGGCACTTAACCCCTGTGAGCGTCAGTTTCCTTAGCTGTAAAGCTATCTGATTCCAGGTTGGATTCAGTGACAGTACCAGGCGCTGTATCAAACCACATACAAAGACAAACCAAAAAAACCCCCAAAAAATCGGTCTCTGCCTTCCAAGAGTTTATGTTCTACTGAAAGAAAAACTTCACAGTTGTAAAAGAAGTTCTTGGTAAACCGTAAAGAGCTGTAAGATTGTGATATCGTCGTTATTAGAGCAGTATAGTCATTATTAATAATGAGTAGTTGGAAGCGTGTGTGGGCAGCTCAGAGAGCACACAGGGAGATTGAAGACCGAGTGAGGTGGTTTTGATCCCAGTCTCATTCAAAGTAGAGGACCAGTGTTAGTTCCTGGGAGAGGGCTAGTGAAACGGTATGACAGTAGGTGACAATGAAATGAGGACCCATGAAAAGAGAGAGGCCCATGTGGTCTGGCCTGGAGAGAGTAGGGACCCGCAGAGGCAACCCTCGGGATTCCCACCCTAGGGGACAAGCCGCTTTGGCCCCAGCTGCCGGCCCTTAACGGCAGGGGTAAGGACCAGAGCTTCAGGGAGCAAATGGGTTTCTAGAGCTCCTCCAGCAAAAGCTGGAAAGATGCAACCCAGGGGCCAGTCCTTCTGGCCTATGTTGTGGTCTCACAACATAGCTTAAAAAAAGTAAAATGTCACCTCTTTTTATTAGCCATCGAAAGCCTGTTGAATTGTCCTATCCTTGTCTGCCTCTCAGACAAGAAATTTCACTCTTCTATATTCCTGGCTCGATTTTCCAGGAGAAAAATGGAAAAACAGAGGTCACTAGTTGCAGGAGATGGAGTACTTGCCTGGAAGTCGATAAGACCTGGGTTTAAAGACCAGGGTTCTCCTATCTTTGACTAGCCATGTGACCCTATGGAAGTCACTAAACCTTTCTGGAGGATGATATTAGCTCCAGGCAAATCTATAAATTACAGACAAATTACCAATCTGCATTAGTAGAGACTGTTTCTTATAACAGGGCTTCCAATGAAATCTCATGCAGAGCACAAAAAAAAAATAATCCCAAGAACCATTTCTAGGGAAGAATAGTCCTAGACATAATTACAGTGAAAGAAAAAAACATGTTGTGTTTCCGCTCCTTGCCTCCTGCTTTGTGGAGAGCTTCTGTTTAGCTGCAAATAGTGATGATTTTAAACTAGTTGGCCATTTCTAGGCCTCCAGTTGTCAAGCGTTGATGGGTGTTTCTGGCTTTGGAGAGTAATGAGGCATGGAATTGTCTTTTCAATTAACATAGGATCTACAAGATTTATTTTCAGCAACAGATAACTTGTTCTATTCTGAATCCCACTCTGGCAAGTCCTTTAAAAATAAATATATATAAATAGTTGAAGTTTCTAGGGCCTGTCATTTAAGGGACAGTGTTACAAGCAATTGGAAGGCAGTAGGGTTCATTGGAGAAAACACTAACTCCAGATAGGTGGTTCTTACTTAACCTTTACAGCTCATGGGCTAAGGAGGGTCATATCATACCATTTATAGATCTTTCTTTTGAAACTTCAATCTCTCCCTCATTAGCAGCTTCTTTCTCTCTGCCTATAAATATCAGGTCTTCACTATCCTACCTCTTCACCCAAAACAAGCACATATACACACACACCACACACACACACACACACACACATATACACCCTTTTCTCTATCCTAAAATCCCTTCAAATTAGTTCTTACTCTGCCTCATTCCTTAGTCCCAGCTAACCTAAAGGAATACTTGTCTCTAACAGTACCAACAACCACATTCAATGCTTGGGCTGAACCTTACTTATCATCTAATCAAACCAGTACAACTTCCTAACAGCAAATCCGTCATTCTTATTTCAGTTACTGGGGCCAAAACCTTGGATTCATCATTGACTCCTATGTCTTCCTCATCCCCTACATATAATCAGTTGCTAATTTCCATAGATTGTATTCTGTAATCTCTCACATGATTAAGTCCAAATTCCTCATTGTCTGAAATGTTACCAAATCTATCTTTACAATCTTATCTCTCAGTAAACTCTCTTTTTGTTATTATTTCATTTGTAAAACATATTGGGCTAAGTATAAGCTGTGCTTTGCCTTTTCATAGGAATTATAAACAAGTGGCTAAAATTTTGGGGATAGGTAAAATGGAGAGAGAATAGAACAAAGATTTCTAACCCTTTACATCTTGCTATGAGCTTTTACCATTGTCTGGAATGGAAACATTCCACAGTCTTTCATCTAGAGTGAATGAGGTTGTACCTGGTCTGCAAAGGCTATAGTTAGAGCCCTCAGCATTCTGCCAAAAGCTGTGCAGGCCATGATGGTGAAGTGAGCTACCCATCCCCCACAACGGAGCCTTTTGTGTATTTAATGAAACCAGAGGAATAGAATGAGGTCTCTACCCAGAGCAGATCCCAGCATTGCTTCTGTGTATGCTTGTGCAAGTGCACAAGTGCAGGTGCAGGACTGACAGCTTTCAGAGGTCTTGTCAACTTTGAGTATGGTCCTTTGGGGTACAGGGAGTGCTAAGCAGTAAATTGGTGCTATACCTCATACAATGAATGAATGAGTTTGTTTTCCAGTTAACTTCCTGCTACAGCTTCAGCAGCTAAGCAGCACAGTGGAAAGAGCTCTGGGCATAGAGTCAGGAAGACCTGAATTCATATCCTACATTAGGCACTAACTAGCTGTGTAACCCTGGGCAAATCATTTAACCTCTCTCTACCTCACTTTCCTCCACTGTAAAAAGGAAGTAATAGCATCTACCTTCCAGGGTTATCCCCAGTTCATTATTTATGACCAGAAGGTAAAGAAACTCTCAAGTTCATAGGTCACTGTGAAAACTAGGATCAGTTTTGCATTGTGATCTTCTCTCCGTATATATCCTTCACATTAGTCAAACTGTGTTAGTTATTTCTGGAATATGCCTTGGACTTTTCGGACACATGTTTCTCACAATGTCCTCCTGCCAATATTTTCGCCATACTTCAAACTCCATCTCAGATACCACTTCCTCAATGAAGTCTTTCATGATCCTTCAACTGCTCTTTTTCCCCTCAATCTTTTGTATCTCTTTGGACATCAAACTGTCATGAACTGCTTGTCTTATCCTTACTGCTAGATTATAACTGCCTGGAGGGCAGGAGCTGTATTTTACCCAGCTTTTATTTATAACTTCCATGGTGCTTAGTACAGTGCCTTGAAGATAGTGGATACTCAACCTCATTTGTAGGAAGGAAAGGAAATGGGCTTGAAAGTCACAAAGAAAATTGCACATGCTAACCAATATAGAATTCAATTTGGAATATCCAATGATTTTGTTTCTCATAGTTCATTAAATCAACAGAATTCAAATCTTGGGATAGAGCATGCAATGTCAAAAAAAACAAGTAAGATTTTGAAATCTCCTATTAACAGTCCTTATTGCTGTTCCCCACCCTCAACTTGACATCAATTAACAAAGATTCCCATGTGACTTTGAAAACCTTACAATGACTATTTCTTGATTTAAATAGCTACTATGGTTTTTAGATCTATCTTTAATTATGGTTATACAGTATTGCTTTGAGAAGAGATTCTATTCTTTGTTAATAAGATAAAACATAATAGTTATTAGAACATCTTTTGCTACAGTTTTATCCTCATACTTTATGGCAT